CAACGATGTTTCTATATAGAATGTTTTGGTTTGAGTTTATGCCAAGCAGATACAGTATTTTATTAAATGCAGAAGGGAAATTAAGAATTGGGATTCTCCACATGTTTTCTTGTTGGGAAAAATCAACTGTACATGCATAAAGCATAAAAAACAAATTTTTTTTTCGTGGCCTGTAAAGTCCGGAATTTAGATCATTCAGGATATTGGACGTCAGGATCTTAGACTTTGTTCTGCATTGACTTTTCTTTGTTTACTCTATAGTTTAATACAAATTATAATTTTTTTTTTTCTGTTATTGTTAATATTACACATGATAACAACACAGATACAAAATTGAACAGTTTCAACTTGCTCTGTTATATAACAATTATACTGAAACATAAAAATCCTTTATAATTTCATAATTATGAAAAAGTAATATATATATGGGTTCTTTAGTTTCGAAATCACAATTCATGTTCAAACAAAACACTTTTAATAAAACATTAACATATCTATAATATAGTTCATCTATTAATACAACATCTGTAACATCGTATTTCTATTACCACAACATCTTAACATCTTATATCTATTAACATGACATCTATAACATCTTACATCTATTAATACAACATGTATATCATCTTACATCTCCTCTCATGAAACAAAGTGGCGAGAGTTCTGTCAATTTCACTCATGCAGTTAACAGTTAAAAATTAGACAGCGCGCGAGGAAACATATTAAGCTATGGATTTAAAATCCCACATTCAGCCTTCCTGCTATGTTTCGACCTCAACGACATTATTCTACTCTTGACATCATAAATCATTGGTTGTCTTCGATAAAAGAACCATCATCAAGATTAAGCCGAAACCTGAAAAGAAATATGAAGGGAGAGGGGAAGATTGTGTGCTAAGGACAAAATTGAAAGGAAACATCTTAATTGTCCTTCATCTTTGCAACAATAACATTGTCAACAGTCCCTTCTATTTTTCAGAAATTTCATGTAAATCGAAAAGTGTCTTCAATCTTTAACATTTTTGGAAACGTTTATCTCATCTTAAAAATAACATTAACTAAAATCAAAGTCATTATTAGGTGAAAAATCACAGTTCGGTTATCAGCTGTATCACTCCAGGTTAAAACATCATAATCAGTATTATTTTTTACATCTGCTTGGGTCCATTGTTTTATGTACTCAGCATATGTAGTTGTTTTGTGGGTCCTTCATGATCTTCTTTTACAACATCATAGGTGTCATTGTCTTTTATTTTTACAATTTTGTATGGGCCTAAATACTTTGATTTTAACTTAAGGTTTGGTCCAAATTGAGTTCTTCTTTATAACATTTTGGGAAATGTCTTCGAAGGTTATATGCCTTCTTATTTTCTTCCTGTACCTTAAATATTTGTTTCTTCACATCTTTTCAAAGTTCTTCTCAGTAAGTTTCAAAATTATTTTGAATTTTTGCATCAATTGTTTCTTTAATGTTTTCTTTTCCACAAGTATCTGCTTGAAAATTAGAAGCATTCTGTCTGCTTACTCCAGATATAAAATTAACAGCTGATATTGCTTTAGGAAATCTTCTTTTTGGGACAGAAGGTTCTTCAAGGGAAGATTTACGCCTTTTATATAACCTTGTCTTAGGTTTAGTTGATTTGTAAGTTGAAGTCACACTAGATGGTGTTTGAACAGCAGCAGCATCCCACAGATTTCCATAATGTTCCCAGTCATCAGCATTAAGAATTTCTCACAACTTACGAAATTTTTCATCAGCGATACATATTTTTCTTTTCAATTCTGCTTGCTTCATAAATAATCTCTTCTCCATAATTTTTCTCATGCGATCCTTTTCAAAAGGTAGCTTTTCTTGCATTTTCAGTTTAACGTGTTGAACTTAAAACAGTTTTTCTTTCTCAGACAGGATTTTATCTTCGGTTCTCATCCGAAATTTTGCAGTTTCTACTTCATTCTTGGCATCTAACAATTGTTTCTGTAACATTTCTGCAGTCTGTTCTGATACGGAAACTTTTCTTTCCAAAGATCTAACTTGTTGTTCAGGAGCATCCAAATCCATTTGTAAAATAGTTTTTTCCTGCTTTAATTGTTCTTTACCTATAATTGATCTCAAAGAAATAAGTTGGTCATCTTTTAAAATAATATGCATTTTGGTATTAATAGATTTTCTTTTGGCTTGTGTTCCTTTAAGTTTTTCAGACATACCAGGATCCAGTTCTTTAGCTGGAAATTTCACTTGCTGTTTACTTTTTCTTACTGTTGATATTCCTGTTTCACCAGAATTATCTTCAACTAGTTTCTCAAATTTTGAATTCTTACTTTTCCTAGAACTCTTTGGCCCTGAAGTGGCTATTTTGGAATCGTTAATTTTTTCACTAATCTGTTTGATTTCTTGAACCTTCTTAGGTGGAATTTTTCTTCCTTTCCTCTGCGTTTTGAAGTTTTCTTTTTCCACTTTTAGCATCACTTTTTTCTTCCTGAGACTCGTTTTCCTTTAATTCATCTTATATGTTTCTTCTACAGGGTTTTTGGTTTTATTAGGAATATAACTTTCATTTAAGTATTTTACTTTGGACTTGCATGCTTTATTATCCTAACAATTATCTAATCCATTTTCTTCACCAACAATTATATACATTAAATTCGATTTATTTTTGTCTTCATTTTCAACTTCTGCTACTTTCATAGATATGCCATTCTTGTTCATAATAATTTCCATTTGTGAAAGCAATTCATTTCCAATAACAGCATTTTCTTTCATTGTTCTTTGAGGCACAACATAAATATTTGATTTAATTTCTCAATCATCAATTCGTATGGAACCTTTAAAATAACCAATAGGCTTTACTTTATTGTTACCAAAGCCTGCTAGAATTGGAAGAATTAATATTAGGTGAACCAATTACTTTATAAATGTTTTCCGATACTATATTTATATCACTTCTTGTATCAATGAGAGCTTTTACTTCTACATTATCTATTGATACAATTTTATGCATATCATTTAACTGCTTCTTTACGAATACAGTCAAAAGTGGTTAATTCGGACTCGTCTGGACTTCGGCGATTCCGGATTATCGATTTTTCCGGATTATAGATGATCAGTTTAAATCTGGCAAGATGGCATGCAGAAATTATAAAATTAAAAATATGAAACCATAATTTATGAAATAAAGAACAATTATGATCTAAAGGGTATCAAAATTTACAAAAAAAAAAAAAAAAAAAAAAAAAAAAAAAAAAAAGCTTAATATTTATTTGTTTACTTTATTAAACATTTCTTTCAATTAATCTAAAATCTAAAGGGTATCAACATTTACACAAACAAAAAAAAAAAGCTTGATATTTATTTGTTTACTTTATTAAACCTTTCAATGTAAGTTGTTTAAGTTGCTTCGTTTTATGTGATAATACTTTCTCTTTAATTCTATAAACAGATATAATTTCTTGTTCAATTACAAAATTCTGCTGTTCAAGTCCTATAATTGCTGTGTTGAGAATACCGACTAATTTGTCAATCGAAATTTTTTCGTTTTCAATAACCTCTGTGTCACTTTCTTCACTATCGAAAGCAGATAATAATGATGAGGAATTTGATTTAAATCATATCAAAGACGGAGTACATCGAGATGAAATACTACATTTAGTAAGGAATTGTAAGCCAAATAAAATAAAAACATCTGCCCTGAAGATAAGGATAGTGTTGACAGATCAACTTCCAATTCATTGTGCACCGCGGCGTTCCTCCATCCCCGAATATCAGATTCTGTAATTCATTTAGTTTTAACAAATTCGATACATCCTCAAAGTTTTCAATAAATTTGTCAACCAAATTTTAGATTACCATAAAATTTAGGAATCAAGCTTTTCAGTATCATTAAAATTTATATACACATTTGAAAACTGTGAAAATGGAAATTGAACTGATGACTTACTAATATTTTGTTTTAGCTCATGATCTTCGTCAACAGCAGCAAAAGGAAAGTCGTTGACAATTCAAGCAGTTGATGCAGCGATTTCACTATTAACAGAAGTATTTCTTCTTTCATCCAATCTTGCTTCATATTCTTCTATTTGTTGTTTGTAATTTGATCTTGATTGTGACACCAATTTTGTGGGTTCTTTAGTTTCGAAATCACAATTCATGTTCAAACAAAACACATTTAATAAAACATTAATACAACATCTATAACATCGTATATCTATTACCACGGCATCTATAACAACTTATATCTATTAACATGACATCTATTAATACAACATCTATATCATCTTACATCTCCTCTCATAAAACAAAGTGGCAAGAGTTCTATCAATTTCACTCGTGCAGTTAGCAGCTAAAAATTAGACAGCGCGCAAGAAAAAATATTAAGTTATGGATTTAAAATCCCACATATATACATATGTGTGTGTAATTTAATGCGTAGTAGGAATTCGGTATTTTAATTGGTTGTAGACACGGCTGGGTGGAAAGGCATGAATAAGAGGTTGAGAAAATTGAATTGAAGAATCATCATCTTTATTTTTATACATGTCAAATCATCACTTTGGCAGAGAAAATTTTACGTTTAAATTTCAGGCAGGTTATGTAATTTGGAATAATCTCGAATATGGGACAACACCAAATTTAGAATAGTTAATTTTGAGGTCGCTGATTATTTTTAAAACAACCATCGTATTTTGTTATATCTTACATATACATATAATGCAGTATTTAGTACATTTAATTATTAATTTACAATATCTGTTTACCATTTTTTTTTTCCTTCAAAATCAAAGCATATCTACTTGTAAATGAAATTATCATTGTTTGCAAAGTAGTAACTGTTGTGTGAAATATTTGTCACCTGCAGTATTAGTACTTTGTACATATAATTCTGTGAATACAGTATTTCATGCACATTATATGGGTTTTTATTCTAACATTTGTAAATAATTTAATAAATTTAATTCTAAGTTCAAGTAATAGTATTATGTTAATCTATTTTTATTCATTTTAGCTGGACCCTTGCCTTTGAAAGATATATGCCGAAGAGTCATTAGGCAACAAATTAACAAGAAGCGCTTAGGAAGAGTTCATGAACTCAGCTTACCTAAAGCTTTGAAAAGTTATCTCTTGTATCAAGATTGAAAAATAGGTCAAGCATAGTATTAATCCATTTTGGGACCACCTACAACTCAAGATTTCTTCACATAAATATATGTGTGATGCTGGTCCAGGTCATTCTTGTGCCATACAGTAAATATTCTCCCACTGTAGTGATTGTGCATTTTATGGATGGCAAACCTTTGTTTGGTTTGTTAATTTATCAATTAATAATCTTTGTTAGTTATAAGATGGAATGATGCTTCTGGCCATTCTATTTGGTTTGTATATGAAGTACTTAATTTATGTCTGCATTCGGATATAAATTTGTAGATGTAAGAGCAGCTCCTAAATAGGTTTGATGGTTTTGAAATGTTGGGATGAATCTAACAAATCTGGCAGCTACCTACCTCGATATGCTAGAAGTAAATGGTAATAAGTGAACTATATGAAAGTTTCTTCAGATATGGTTTTGGAGTGCTATTGTGTTTCGTCTTTATATGTATTTTGTAATTTTTTATTAAATTTCAAATCTAATTATGATTTTATATAATTTTGTTTCAAACTTGTAAATTTTTAAATAAAATTATTTCTTTTTGAGCTTGTATTAATAATGATTTATCTTGTAGATCTAATCTTCTCTCTACATTTAATTTCATGTCTTGAAATTGATTCCATGCAGTAACTAATGCCAAGTTACAAATAACCATTTTAAGTAAAAATATTTCTTGGCATATTAATATCAGACAAAATTAACATTGAAAAAATATTTCACACATATTAGTTTTCTTCAGTTTTTAATCGCTTATTAATGTATTTGAATATACCAAGTCTGGTTAGAAATGAAAATCATTGACATAAAAATGTGATTGTATAATGAAATTCCAATCTTGACAATCAAGATTTTCTTCTGCTTGACATAACTGTATAGCAAATAATAATAATTGCATTTTAAAACATTTATATGGTTCCCCCCACCTTTTATTTCTTGTTATCCAGAATCAGATAATGTTGTGTGCATAATCAGATATGTTGTGTGCAAATATTCAAGTACTGATATTATATTTCTTTGCTGTAAAGTGCATGTAATTATTTTCACACTTAAGGCAATAATTTTATCAACTTTATATATATAAAATCATTTGAAGGTACATATAAGCATTTGAAAAGAAGCATTGTTTCATGCCAAACTTATCTTTCAGCTTTCTTCTATATAATAATAGGCATACATTTTTCAAATGTATTTATGTTATACGTATTTTATTTAGAAATTTGTGAGTTTAATTAAAAATTAGATAAAACAGCAACTTAAGTATAGATTTTGAACAACGATCAGATATAGGTTTTTCTTTTTCAGGAAAGGGGAAAAAAATATGCCCCCCCTTTTTTTTTTTTTTTTTTTTTTTTTGGCTTCTGAGGGACTGTGTCTGATCACTCTCGAACTTGATAGAGTTTTATTCAAAATGTATTCCAAACTAAAGTTGTGCCTAATTTAATTTTACATGGCATGGTTTCTTTTCTGATTTTGAAAGAACAGGAGATTGATAGCACATATTAATAATGATTTTGACTGTAGAAAATGAATAATTAAATTTAAGTCCATAGTTGTTGAATTTAACACGTTCTCTCTGAAACCTCGATTTTTAAGTGTAACCCTGCAGTAAACTTTTCTGTAAAATACCAGAATTTCAACTGTTGTCAAATAATATCACTAACAAAATGTTCTTAAATAATCTGATTTTGTGAATAGCTTTTTTCAAAATTTTTCGACAGGCAATAAATAAATAAATAAATAAATTTAAAAAAATTAAAAAATAATAATAATAAAGTTGTATAAATAAATGATGTAACATTTATTTGAAAGCTTTTGTAATTTTTTAGTTGTTTACCATAATGTGTGGCTAAAGACTGTGTCATAATGAAGCCAGAATTATATCAGTCATAACCAAATAATGTTAACATATTAAGCCCTAAGATATTGCCTTATCATTTCAATAGGCTGAATGAATTACTGTTATTATTTTAGATTAACTTTTTAAAGTGTAAATTTGCCGCTACATCAAAAATCTTTGTTACTACTATTACCTTTCAATTTTTCCTCTTGTCAGAACCAGTTTGAAGGTTTTCATTTCCCTTTGATTTTTAAGAAATAATTGTATTTCTGTGAAAGTTTAATAACAAACCCATGCCATAATATAACTACATCAGTTAATGTTTCATGGAGGCTTCCATAATTGATCTTCCTTTCAGATCCATACTAAAGCAATGAATGCAAAATTTGAAGGTTAGGATTTTAATATATTAGAGTATAGTTCACTGTAATATTTAATGAATTTTTAATATGTCTTGGAGTTAAAAAAATTCTTTAAAACCATTTCATTGTTTTTAATATTGGACTGAATGGACATTTTAACTATTGGACTTACTATATATTTCTATTTGTCAAGACTTTTTTGTTGTTAATTTATAGATGACATTCATTTCTTTTGCTTGTCATTTTGCCATAGCATGTCTTCCAATGTAATTTTTTTTTTTGATTGGTGCATATTTATTATTTCAGAATTTAAAATGCTTGACAGTACCTAATTGTAAAGTTTGGGTTGTTGATTTTAGATAATGTAGGTCATTAGAGTTATCTCATGTTCTTTTAAAGCATAGCTGTTAATGCTGCAAACTAATTCCTCAACTGTAACATGGATATGATCCATTCCCTTTAGAAAGTCCTCTATGGAGGCATCCCTTCCCTTAGCCAGATATCCCTTGTGTACTTTTTTGTAACTCAAATGATCCAATCTCTTGCCATCTGTTTGGTATTATGTTTATTCCAAACCAATAAAGTTCTCTATTTTTGCGTAACAAATGTCTTGTGATGCTGTTTACACATCCACCTAATCTTCCAAGATTTAAAGAATGATGCTCTGAAATAATTGAATGATATGGTAGGGAGGGATCAAGGACCGATTAAAGCAGCATGAAGTCTGCCATTATCATGATGAAAACTAAAGGCCTTAGTGACTGCTGGACACTTAAATGTCAGTCCGCAGTCTGTTAGCAGAGATTGGCATTTATCATTTTGTTACATTTGTCATTTGTAGATTATTCTCTGGATATCCCATCATACACTTAGCAGAAAGAAGTGAAAATACCGATTCTTTTCTGTTGATGCTTTGAAGAAAATGGGCACTTAATCCACTGATCAAACTTCTTTTTGAACCTGATATATATATATACAGTATAAAGTCCGTAATCCAGACGTCCCATTATTCGGAATGATCTATAATCCAGACCTCAAAGCCACAGACTTTTTTTTTTATGCTTTACACATGCACGTTTAATATATAACGGATGGTATAAGCTAGGCTAAAATTACCTTTACTGATTCTAAGGCATTTCAATTAATGTTGCAGATTGCACTGTTCCTTAATCTTAAGTTAATGTTGCAGATTGCGCTGTTCCTTTGGCTTATTATTTTTTTGCAGACTGTTAGAGCAATTTTATAAAAATTAAGCTTGAACGATGAAGATGATAGCCGTGAATTTGAAGGTTTTCGGACATCACAAATTAAAGGTGAAATTTTCCATTTATTAGATTATGTAAAGAAATGTGGAGAAGCGGTAATAAATGAAGATGATATAACAGAAGTTTTTCATTGCAATGACAATGCCCCAATCATCAATCAATTAATGGACGGTGAAACATGTAGTATGGTTCTAGATGCAGAAAATACTGCTTCTGATAGCAAAGAAAGTGACAGAGAGGTTATTGGAAATGAAAAAATATTGATTGACAAGTTAGTCTGTATTTTCGACACAGTAATTACAGGACTTGAACAGTGGAACTTTGTAACTGAACAAGAAATTGTCTTGTTTATGGAATTAAAGAGAAAGTTATTAAGTGGCTGAGTTTAATAAACTGCAATTTGTGCATTGCAAGCTGTGATATCAGTTTTAAACTTTTCAAGTAAAATAATAACTAACAAGTAATCCATAAATTAATTCTAAGATAGTAATTAAAAATAAAAATTAAATTACGAGGGCTATCCAGAAAGTAGATTACGTTTTGGAATAAAAAAATAACAAGTAATAGAAACAATTTTATTATATACAGTGAAAGCCACACTCAAATACTACTTTTCTACATAGTCACCATACAAATTAAGGCATTTATCGTAGCGATGTACGAGCTTGGAAATTCCTTTCGAAAATTCGGCCGCCTGCGCCTTCAACCACTTCGTTACCTCTTCTTGCAGCTGTGCGTCGTCATCAAACGCTGCATAGCCAGCCACTTTCATTGCGGGATAGGTGGAAGTCGCCGTGCCAGGTCGGGACTGTACGGCGGATAAGAAACAACTCCACTTAAAGATTCCGAACTTTACGAGTGACATTTGCCGTGTGGGGCCGGGCGTTGTCGTGAATCAACAAGATCTTAGAGCTCAACATTCCTCTGCCTTGTTTTGAATTGCTCTTCTGAGTTTTTGGAGAGTTTGGCAATACCTTTGAGAGTTTATTGTAGTGCCTCTTTCCAGGAAGTCCCCAAATTACACCTTTTCTGTCCCAAAAAACAGTCGCCGACATTGTTTGCATGCATTTCTTGGGTTTTTGGGGAGAACTTGTGTGCCCCCACTGCATTGATTGCAATTTCGTTTCACAGTTCACATCATCCACCCATGTTTCGTCACCAGTAACGATGCGATCGAGTAAAGAGTCACCATCCTTATGGTAAGCGTCCAAAAGTTCAACGCTGCAGCCATTCGCTGATTTTTGTGGTCCTCTGTCAAGATTTTTGGAATCCATCTTGCACAAAACTTGTGGTAACCAAGCTTTTTCGCTGATGATTTCGTCAACAAACTTCGCGAATTTGTGGAAAACTCAAAGAAAGTTCCGTTATTGTGAAATTTCGATTTTCACGGATTTTAGCATCGACTTTTTCGAGAAGTTCGGCGGTCACTATGCTGGGTCTCCACTTCGATCTTCGTCGTGAACATTGGTTCGGCCATTTTGAAATCTATGACCCACTGACGCACTCCACCTTCAGTGATAATGTTGTCCCCATACACTTCACAAGCTGCCGATAGATTTCTATCGGTTTTTAAGTTTTTTGCATCAGAAACCTTATTACTGAGCGCACCTCGCAGCTCGCGGGATTTTCAATTAACGCAGACATTTCAAATTGTCACAGTATCTGAACGGAGCACAGCACGAACCTCTCACTAGCACGGCTAGATGCAGACTGAGCTGCGCAACGCTCTGACCCCAAGATGGCCGCGCTATCCCCGCCCCTAGTGGACACAGACGGAAACGTAATCTACTTCCTGGATGGCCCTCGTATTTATCCTCTTTTGAAATTTTTTATAAACATTTTTATAATTATATTATTGATGAAATTTTGTCTTTTACAAACTATTCTATCTGTAATTTTTCATAGTACTCAACAACAGTGTTTCGGTTGTATTTTCAATTTCGAAAAACTGATGATAGCTTTCTCGATCAGCACATTTCAGTTTAAGAATTTTTCTCAGAACTTGCAGTTGATGATGGCATGTCATCACTTTTTATCCGTATAGCTTTCGCAGTCCGTTTTTGTGGTTATTTTCATACATT